TTTGATTCTCTATGTTTTTTTTTCACTGATGTCGTTCTATTTCACCATTCTACAGTGATTTTTATCCAACATTTTTGTTTTGTTTTCGTGTCCTTTGTTCACTTGTATTTTTGGCGTGTTGAGAATGTTTGTCAATCTAGGTTGTTAGCAATTACCTAGACGAAATATAGCCTACCAAAAGGTCCTAAACTTTGATAAAATGAAAGGTTTGACACTAACACAAAGCACAGAAAAAAGCATTCAGAATGGTGATTTAAATTGAAAACTATTATCGAACTAAAAAAAGCATGTAATCATCTCTCTTGCTTTGTAATTATCCTTCTCTGTTTCTATTGGTAAGGCATGTACCGCATCGGCCTTCTGAACCTAGGAGCCTTCCTGTTATGAGGAGACATTGTCGTCTGACACGGAGAAGAAGAAGCCATATGTGATAATTGACGGTAAAGATATAGAGTTTAAACTTACCCGTATCCATATGGGGAATACATATAAGGTGGCACAATGGGTCTGGCGAAAGCGGTAACCCATTGAAGGGTTGAAACGCCTAGGATGATACTGTTTCATTCCAGGAACGTTGGTTCGCTTAGGCAAGACCTGAAATGAACAACAAAAAAAGAAGAAGAGAAGATTGAAATAACTGAAGTGTGTCATTTCCTGGTAAGGTTTGGTCTTTATCAAGGGAAGAAAGATACCTTCAGTTGACGACCATGTAACTCTGATTCATTCAATTCTACAACTTCTTGCACAGCTTTGGCTTTGACAAACTCCACATAAGCAAATCCCTTTGGTTGTCCAAACTTGTCCATCAGAATGGTTACCCGGTTGANTGTTCCGCATGTTTGGAAATGCAGTTGAACTTCTTCAGGCGTACAAGCATAATCGACCTGTAGGGTGAAAAAAGGTGGCTTCAGTATAACACACAAAGCATTCAGATTGCAGACTAAAACCATGACTTACTGAACACATATTCTATGTGAAGGAAAACCGTGTGACAAACTTGTGTGCTGCTCTAAAGCAATCTTCTATGCAAAACATTAGACACTAAGATGTGTACGAAACATAATTGTTATGAGATTCTTGAGTTTAAGAGCCTGAGGCAAAATACATGATAAACAGGCCAGCATCAAACCGCAGGTTCTCANGAATTCCGTAAAACAACCAAACCTGTAAGAGCTCCAAGTCTGCAGAGCTTTGGTGTCTTGACTAGAAAGCATCCAGCATCTTGATNCAGCTCTCCAAAGGCTATCTCCTCACGGATTACAAAAACCTTGCTTTCTACTCTCCCACCCAACTCACTCAAGAGTCCTTTTTTCCCCACTCAATAAGTCCCATTTTTTAATCTCTCAAACTCATGCAATCTTTTTCTCTACA